GAATTTTTCTATATTCACTAAGACGAATGATAATGATTTTTTAATTAAGAAAATGTATTTAAAGGATTTTAGAGTCTTTATTGGCTAAGTTATTTTTACAGAAGCTTCTTGTGCTCGTTTGTGGTTGACATTTTAAAAAGTGTGAAATAATTAGATAAGGTAATTCTTAATCAGTTACGTGATTGTTAACTCATTAAGCGCGATTTTTACTATAGTCATAAATAACAAAGGTGCTCCAATTTCAAGAATAAAATTCTATATATAGTATAAACTTTCGTTCTAGTTTTCAGCGTGCTCTTCCCTAACATTTCTCATTTTAGCCACCAGTAACGACCGACATAAATCAGTAATTACATTATGAAAAACCATAACGACCTCTCTCGTCCTCTAAAATGAGGCTTTATTTGGAATTTATAACATCAATTAATAAATTTTGCCTGAGCCCGTTTTCTTTTCAGTCACGAAATAATTATTAATATTTCCTGGCTAAATATGTAAGTCAATTGAAAATTACAATATTGCTTCCGTTCTCCAGTGTTGCACACACAGTAATAGAGTCAAGTTTCTAAATTGTAACTTTTGAAACTGCGATAAACTTCTAAATGTAGAATTAGATACGTCCACTTGACTTGGTACTGTAACGTGACGTATGTGATGTCATCATTAAAATTTATTAATAAATTATATTATAAATTAATGATTTAACCTGCGTTAAATATTATAACCGTTGGATGTCCCAGGAATGTCCAGAGATATCATAAAGACATCATAAAGATATCCAAATTTTCGGATGTGACTACGACGTTCGTAGGATATCCTTTGAATATCCGTTACTGTTAGGGTACTCTCTAAATCTGAATAAGTGGAATCTCTTCCACGTAAAAAAATAAATGAATATACATTAGGGTGTGTTATATTCCCCATAATTATGAATTTCATTGAGTTCGCCCCATAAACTTGTTCATTTTGTTGAAAGAAACAAGTTTTTTAAAGTTTCAATAAAAAAAAAATTTATAGGTTGAGCCATGATAGGAATCTCTTATAGAGGTTTTTCACTTACCCAGGTTCGACTGTAGTTTTTTATTTATTTTAAATGAACTTATATGAAATAAAATTAGAAAATAATTTTTAGAAAAAATTAGAAAAACTACAATTTAAACAGATATGAAGCTTTAAAAAAATTACGATCTTTTAAATTTTTATCAGCATCTTCAGGTATTTAACAAATTTTCAAAACATTTTATACGATGTAACTCAACAATTAGAATTTCAATAAATGCCGATATTAGAGTAGAAGGGGGTAATGTAGTGCACTTTTCTTTCGAAGACTCCTGTGGTCGCAATTTTCAACCAATTTTGATCAATAAGGACTCGTTGGAAAGACAATGCTTCTAGCTACATTTATGGTGTACATTATTTTTTTGTAGATGTAGATGGAGCTTTTCTATATCCAAAAAACTGAAGGCACTGTTTTTCGACATTCTAAAATTTGTGGGGCAATGTAGTGCACCACTTTATTAGTGAAATAGAAAGCAGAGAATATATTGTAAACGATTTTATTTTATTAGATATAATATTAGGAACATAAGAAACTCAAAAAACTATAAACTAGTAGTGATGCCCACGAGACGAGACTTTGCATGTAAAAACCGAGACGAGATCTAGACTTTGCATGGTATCATCTCATCTCATCTGGTGGACAGTACTATAAACTAGAGATTTCTTTGGTCCTGTGTTAGATAAAACTGAAAGAAAACTGCAAAAATTTGCAAAAAGAAAACATGGTTAAATAATACATATTTGTGGTACTCTGTATAATTGCACTACATTGTCCCCAACCCCGTGCACTACAATGCCCCCAAGCACTTTTTTCACGTTGACTTCAATATCTCAATAAAAACAAAATTAAACATCAAAACAATACTAAATTTGTGTTCAGAAGTAAATTTTACATGGAAAAAGCACTTACCCGATACTTTTTTAACGAGCCTTACATTTTCTTCAAGTCACTAAAAAAACGGAAATATGGTTTCGAAATCTAGTGTTTTTGAAGTGACGCCACAACTTCTTTTAGAAGAAGCACAATAAAGCCTAAATGATATACATTACTATAATTTGATACCTTAACCCTACCATATTAATGGCAAGTAATTCAATTCATTCGTTTAGTCAGTAAAGCCAGTGCACTACATTACCCCCTGCACTACATTACCCCCTTCTACTCTAATAATAAAAAAAAAACTAAAATTAAGTCTTTTAAAAATTCCGACTTATTGATACCAGTAGGAATATATAAAAAGTAATCAATTTATTTGGTTCCCAATAATTTTTTATTACTATACACGGAAAAACCTTTGAGAAGTCTGTCTTCCCACTGTCACAAAATTTCGCTTCTCACTGCATGGAAAGTCTGATCGCCCGCCACTGGGTGCGTAGCATTACCGTTTTCGATAGACAAACTTCCCAAAAAGTTTAGAAAATTACAACTGGGTACGTTGGTCACCCAGTTTGGGAGTGCAGATGAACAAGTTTAGTGGTGGCGCTGACGCATAAGTTTCGGGTGAGCAGACTGCTTAAAGGTTTTTCCGTGTATTGTAAAGTGGACTTTTTGGATATCTTACTTGAAGGAGATATTATCTTTGGACTTTGTCTTTGGTAATTAAGTTGTCAAAGTCTGTCATAAACTTTACCCCCATTCTGCGTGATCGTTTACTACTTGCAGTTGCAATACGATTTGGAATACGCATGGCGTATCTCATAATTCTAGCTGTACGGACGAATTTTTTCTTTCAGTGTGACCTCTTTTTTCTAAAAATCGAGGCGTATTGTAAATACTTGAAAATTTGTAATCTCCTGTAAATTTTCTATAAGAACTCGTGCAGAAATTAAAATGTGGGCCTGATAGGGTACTAGACAGTTTTCCCGATCTCTGGTGTGGCTCTGGTTAGAGAAACTGACCAGTGCCTGACTAGTGTGTGACGCTGTTCCCGACCAATGCCCTACTTAGGGAAAAACTGGTCAGCGCCTCGTCAGTTTTTCTTAAAATTGCCCTATTTTGTGAGGCTAATTTTATTCAAAAGAAATTACAATAAAATTACTGTAATTAAAAATATTATTATATTAGAAACATAATGAACATATTCATTACACCCAGAGAAAAATATTATTTAAACCAAATATATTTTATTTGAGTTAAATAAACGTATATTTGTCTCAGAACCAACTAGACTTTTTATTTCTTTTAAATAAAAATTTTATTCGACACAAATAAAACATATATTTGAAATAAATAAAATGTTATTTCAACCAAATAAAATTTATTTCAAAGTTCAAACAAATAAAAAGTCTAGTTGGTTCTGAGACAAATATACCATTTCTCTGGGTGTATACATATATACAACATATTTATACATAACATAATGAGGTATTATAGTCATTTTGACTAATTTAAAAGTGAAAATGATAAAAATAATATAATTTTAAGAATAGAAAAACTTAAAAATTTTTGAAAAATATAATTTTTGGTTTTATGATTGATTCATTTTTCTTTTGGAGGTTGTCGCTCCTTTCTGCCTCCTTAATTTTATAATATTAATAAAGGTTATAATTTTTTATTTCAAATGTATAAGTAATAATTAATATTTATTTAATAAATATTTTATTCAAATTTATTAATTATGTTTAAAAAATAGTTATTAAATATTGAAGGTGTTAAATTTAACAATCTCTCCGAATCATTTTCTCACTTTAAGCTAATATAATATAAAATAATTATTATTATTAAAATAATATTTTATATATATATATAATATACAAACCAAATGATAAATTCATCCTATAAATTAACAATTATTAAAATTCATGAAGTATAATTTATTAATAATTGTTTATTTATTATTATTTTTTAAATTCATAATTTTTATTTTTAAATAAATGTATAATAATTAATTATTTAATAACTATTATTATTCGTTATTTATAATTTAGTTGTTATTATTAATAAATAAACTTTATTATAATATTGTACTTAAAGAAAAAAAAATTATATGTATTTTCGTTTTTTAAATATATTACCATAATTATTTTATAAAGTGTTTTAAAAGAACACGCTTTTTTAACTTAAATAACTATTTTAAAAAAGTTAATTTTAAAAAATTAAATTTATTTACATGCTTTTAAAACGAGGAAAACTGTCGAGGCCCTGATCAGAGCCCTATTTCATATCTAGTGAACACCCCACTTAGGGTTTTGGCCAGAATTTCTGGTCAAACCATTTAGATCAAAAAATTCTTAAAAATGTAGTATAATTACTCCGTTTAATTAATTTCTTCAATTGTTTATAATTTTATTATGGGAACTAATTTAAAAAACTTAATTCATTTACACTTTATTCAAACGAGGAAAACTGTCGAGGCCCTGATCAGAGCCCTATTTCATATCTAGTGAACACCCCACTTAGGGTTTTGGCCAGAATTTCTGGTCAAACCTACAAAATAAAAAAATTATTCAACACGATAGTATAATTACTTCCTTTAATTGTATTCTTCAATTGTTCATTATTTTTTATTAAAAGTAATTTTAGAGATTTAATTTTTTACACTTTATTTAAACAAGGAAAACTGTCGAGGCCCTGATCAGTACCCTATCTAAAATCTAATGAACACCCTACCTGGGGTTCTGGCTAGGAATTCTAGTCAAACCCCTAAAATAAAAAAATTATTAAATAACTAAAATAATGATTGCCTTTCATTGTTAATAGCTTCTACAACAAAAAGGAATTCTAAAAACTTTATTTAAAAAAAAAATTTTAATAGGGAAAACTGTCGAGGCCCCGACCAGAACCCTATGTTTTAAATAGGGCAAAGTGGGGCATTTTCTGCACGGGAATCAGCATCGTTTACTCTTGTACAAAAATTTTGTCGAACGGTGAGATTACTAAATTAAAAAGTTTTAACATGTAGTTTTCAAGAAATAATTACACTCTAATTTAATGTACTTACGAAACTAAATTCCATTACTTTCAGTAGCCATAGAGTAAGAGCTAGGTTTAATATGACGATGATCATTAATCCTACTACAAGAGAGTAGAGGCACCGTTTTCTCCATCCATAAACGCCTAACCTAAAGCCATTGCAGGAGGGTGATGAATCTTCCTCGTAAGTTAAAGTTCGCGAAGACGGTCCTGGAGTTTGTCGACCTCCAGATTGCCGAGGTATGCTGTTACTATTTTCGGGTTCATCAGACCAATTTAACTGGCCTCGTCCTACCCTGTAATCATAAATGTGAACATACTTTTTAATTCTTTATCTTACTTCTATTTATTTATTTTAAATTACAATGGGACCCCGGTTTATGCATTCCTGATATAATCAATTTTGTCAAAAAAAGAATGACGTGCATCTCCATTGTTGGAATACATTTATACTACAAATATTGTATGCATCACTATGTTCTCTTTTTAAATTTATTTGTATTGTTTGATTTACCATATGATATTAGACATCTACATAAAAAATTATTAAATATTAAGTTTTTAAATTTACATGTGCTAGGATGAAAATGTCACTACAGCTTTCTTCAATCTTCAATACACACGGAGAAACTTTTTCTTCTAATATTGAATATATTTGGTTATCTTTATTCTAAAAGTACGTTAGAATGTGAGGATTTTTCGTGCGTTGTGCTAATAATTTCAACATTAATACGAAAATATGATAAGTTCGTTATATATTAAGCAACCTTCGGTGTACAAAAATTACTATCTGCATTAGAAATAGTCTTATTTTTCTTTAGAAAAGAATAAAATGCTAGTTTTTGTTTGTGAAATAATACGGTAATTCTAACCTTTTTTCCACATATAGATAGAATATATAACAGACATTCTAACGTAACATACCAATTTTGGAAGGACTGCGGGCGGACTTAACCGATTTCGCCCGAGCATCACCGAGTCCATCACCTGACGTCGCGAACTAACCCTAATGTTTTCGAAGTTGAAATTCACACGTGTATGAAAGAAAAAAACCTTTTATTAATAAACGTGAATGTCTCCTCATGCCACATTAAATTCAAGAACTGTTCCTCAATATAACATAATTTTTTTCACGACTTTTACTTATTTACATAATTTGATTAGTAAGTTATTTTAAAAAATGCTCTCTCTCGAAGGCACATATTTTTCCACTCGTTTAATATATAAGGACGATTCAGCTGTGTACTTCTAACGAATCGTGCGATCTTTCGGTTTCCGTGACCAATCGTCGTGTCTTTACTTGCGTGTGCGTGTGTGCGTTAATAATATAGGTTAGGTTCTTACGTCGTGTTAAATATATTTACCTACAGTTACAGTGACATACACTAATGCCATCTACCATCAGATCCAAGTATCACTATCGTCTCTATGAGTATCTATAGACAATTAATTTGTTGGGTTTCTTTTTAATTCATGGCTTTCCCAACTTTGCAAAAATTATTATTTTCTTTCTAAAACAACATACTAATTTTCGTTAGTTTCCTTATGAAGAACTGTAAAATATATACTGAATGAGTGTTTTTGATAGTCTCAATAGCAATTTCTATAACCTATGTCGATTTTCCCTTGAATCTAACCTAGCATACTAAAATGTCTCACCAGTTTTAAGAATTAGTGGTATTAAAAGTTTCTCCGTGCAGAGGTATTCCATTTATCCAGTTTTCTATTTATTCAGGTCGTTGTAGGCCAAGTTCCATTTAAAGAGGTATATTTGTCTTGCACTTTTTATATATATATATATATATATATATATATTTTACATTAATATTTTACAATAATAAAATATTCGGGCTTTTTAAATCGTTTTGCTTTACCACATCCCGTAAATGCAGCATCTTCAATTGATTCCCGGAATTTTAATATACGTGAAACAGTTGATTTTGGAATATTATATTCCTTTTGTATATCACTTTGTGACATTCCACTTTCAAACAATTTAATAAGTTTTAATTTTTCACTTACATCGAGAGACTTAATTTTTCGCTTCGACATTTTGAACTAATCAACAGATTAAGACAAACTAAACAAATAAGTGAGAGAACCGAAATCAATGACAAATACGCAAATAGTAAACAGCAAGTACACGTGCCGAGTAAAATAATAGACGAATCGTGGTTTAATCAAAAGTTTTAGATTCCACTTATGAAGGTACATGAATGAAAAGTTCCAATTATAGAGGGAACGTTCCACTCATAGAGGTAAATTTAAGAAACTGTTCCACTTATAGAGGCCTTATTTCAAAAAATCAGTTCCACTTATAGAGGTAGCGTTTTCCCACTTATAGAGGATTTTTTTGATATTTTGCATTGCTTGTGCAAGGGACCGCAAAAAAAGTTCCACTTAAAGAGGATTCCCACTTATCCAGGGACCACTTATCCAGGTTCGACTGTATTTAAGGGGTTACATGGGTCAAAACGTCCAGACAATGTATGATTGTTTAATTACAAAGGTCCCCAAAAAAAATCTATGATAGGTTTCTTTGACTAAACATAGTGTATTATATGTATTTTAGGCCGCTGAAACCGAATCTGAAGTCCGTTTTGCTCCATCACGTCAGGATTTTTTCCTAACCTCAAAATACATGTCGGATTTTGCATGACAGAAAAAAATTTAAAAATATTAACGGATTTAGCCTTATTTTGGGAAAGAGGTGTTTTGAGGGATCCCTGATTACGAAATTAAAGGCAAATTTTCAAAATACAAAATGGCGAATCTAATATGGCCGTCAAAATTTTCAAAAAATTCTTTAATTTTCAAGAAATTTTTCAATTTTTATAAAATTTTGTATCGAGGGATTTTCGAGGTCAGTGATTATGAAATGAAAGGTAAATTTTTAAAATAGAAAATGGCGGCAGAAAAAAAATTCTTGAATTTTCATAAAACTTTGTACTGAGGGGTTTCTAGGGTCACTGATCACTTATTTAAAGTCAAATTTTCAAAATACAAAATCGCAAATCCAATATGGCTGTCGGATTTTTACAAAACTTAGTATCTGTGAGTTTTTGAGCTCGCTAACTGTGATTTTGAAATCAGATCACCCACCAATGTAGAGCTGCGGTTGCTTGATGATGACGCCTGCGGGCCCGCTTTCTTACCCTGTCCAGCCGTCGATACTGGGGTTCCGACTCCCTGCATCGTACTTTTTTTTCGTGTTCCTACCATGACGGCGTAAAGGTGAGTCTAAAATGGGATTAGTGTCAGGTACACGTACAACTAAACCCATTGCAGACTCACCTTAAGGAACGTGATGCAGGGAGCCGGATCACGGAACAACTCCGTTGCTCGCCGTCACCACGTGGAGGTGCCCTGGTTGCAGGCTCACGATGTAATTTGTGGGCAGCGGCCCTATATCTTCTAGATACCAAGTTTAATGAAAATTCAAGAATTTTTTTTTTACCGCTATTTTGTATTTTGAAAATTTACCTTTAATTTCGTAATCAGTGACCTCAAAAATCCCGTGATACAAAATTTTATAAAAATTGAAGAATTTTTTGAAAATTTTGACCGCCATATTGGATCCGCCATTTTGTATTTTGAAAATTTGCCTTTAATTTCGTAACCAGGGACCCCTCAAAACCCCTCTATCCCAAAATTAAGCTAAATCCGTAAATATTTAAAAAAAATTTTCTATCACGCAAAATCAGACATGTATTTTGAGGTTAGGCAAAAAAGCGGTGGTCACGATATCTTCTGACCGGTTCATTGAAAATCAAAAAACCAAATATTTTCTGTTAGTGGATGAGTATAGCTCGTGATTGAACGAAGGAATATTTTTTTTGTTGATTAGAACCGATTTTACATGGTCTTAATGGTTCTAAAAATTTTAACTTTTGATAAAAGACACTGTCAAACATCCAAATTTCAATTTCTTTGAAAACCCTTCGTTCAATCACGAGATATATTCACCCACTAACAGAAAATTTTTTGTATTTTGATTTTAGATGAAGCAGTCAAAAGATATCTTGACCACCGCAAAAGCAATTTTTTGAAAGGGGCCCGAAGAACTGTTGCTACGGGCCTGATTTTTAATATTTTTTATCAAAAATTTAATATCTTTCTCATTTAATAGTGTACTTTAAAATATACCAAAGTGTTCAAATAAAAAAATTTATTTATTTTATGAAAAAAAAATTATAAAAAAAACATACGTTTTCAGGTCGTTTTGACCCATGTAGCCCCTTAAATTAAAGAACTTGAATTAGAATTATTAAATAGAATTGTTTTTTATAGTTTTGTAAATGTCAGAAACAGTAGCGGACATACCTACAAGAAATTATCTTTTTTTAGGTTCAGTCAAAAACAAATTGCTATAGCAATTATAAATGTTTGTTGACATACCACCAGGCCTGCATACCAGTAGTGCCAATCTGATTTCACACAACTTACTTCAATTAAATGGCGCTAAGTTTGAAAATTTATTCATCCTGTTATGTGTAAATTACTTTAATTAATAAATTGATTTTTAAATAAAAAGACATTAAAATATTTTCAAATTAATGAAAATCAATATTTTTCACAGTAAATATATATGAAATATCACAAAATGACAAAATTGCAAATGTTACCAACCCAACATTTTGAAAATGTTTATCGACAGGTATAATACTCATTTTGAGCAACTTGAAGTTAGTAATTTGTTCAAATTGAGTAGTACTCAAAATGAGATGCAACAAAAATGAAACCAAGTTTTTTCTGTGATATCAATGTAGTTAACTTCATTAATTTGTTGTCGGAAACGTAATTTATTTTTCTGCTTCGATTAAAACAATTTGCGCTTTCTCAGTCATTTTTTAATGTGAAGTGAAAAAGGCAAAAATGGTTTCGAGATACTATAGATGTCTAAATTGAAGAATAAGAAAATGAATACAAGATTGACATTTGTGATAGTAATTCCTAATCCAAATGATTCCGAAAAATCAGATATTAATTCTGATTCTAAAAAATGTGATAATGGATTTTTGAGAATGCACAGTAAAAAAGAAGCACATGAGGCATTTCACGTCAGAAATATCACGATTTGCAAAGGGTATGCCGATTTTCGCAAAACTTCGTGGGATTATAGTTCTATATAAGAAACTTCTTTCCCCCAAATTTTTTCAAAAAAAATTTAAAATTGTTGAAGATACGCCATTTTGAATTTTAATATTAATTTTATAAAATTTTGAATATCTCGGAATATTGTTTATGGATTTTTATGAAATTTACAAATTTTTCAGGTAAAAGTATGTTCTTTAAA